CTACAAATTTACCAGCCTCTAGGTCCTCTGTGCAATATGGGGTGAATGACAATTGGAAAGGAACAGCGTCAGCCATGAAGGCTCCCTGCTGTTGAGTTCTTCTCTCTTGCTTTTGTCCCGTAGCTGCCTGCTTCCTCAGCCCACCCACAGGTGGCCATAAACTTGGGATCACAGCCCAGGATGAGGCCTGTTTAAAAGAAGGTATCATCCTTCAAGGGATCATGAGTCCAGACAATAATCAACAACAGATGCTAGACTATTTAGGAGAGCGACGAATGGGAAACTTGTTAGGTGGAGCAGGCTGACAGCACCTGAGCACACTGGGCCACACTAACGTCACCAGGCAAGGAGTCACCAGACATCTCTTCATGAGATGCATCACAAAATGCCCACCCATGAGAATTATTTTATTTTATTTTTTTAAAGACAGGGTTTTGCCATGTTGGACAGGCTGGTTTCAAACTCCTGACCTCAAGTGATCCACCCGCCTCTACCTCCCAAAGTGCTGGGATTACAGGCGTTAGCCACCGTGCCCAGCCCATGAGAATTTTTGACAGAGGAAATCAGCTGGAATCTAATCAAGCCTAAAGCTCTAACTACCAAGTTCCTGGAAATACAGGGGAAAGAGGAACACAGTAAAAGTCACTAAGAGGATACGATCAGTAGGACCGTAAATGTGGGAAATTTTGAATAACTAAGATGAGCCAGAGTCTGTTTGACTGTCAGATACCATAGGCTGAGTGGCTGAAACAACAGAAATTTACTTTCTTACAGTTCTGAAGACTGGGAAGTCCAAGATCAAGGTGCCAACTGATTTGGTTTCTGATGGGGGCTCTCTTCCCAGCTTGCAGACAGCCACATTTTTGCTGTTCCTCACCTGGTGTCTCCTCTTATAATCCTGTCTTATTAGAGCCCCGTCCTTATGAGTTTATTTAACCATAATTATCTCCTGCAGGCCCTATTGTCAAATACAGTCACATTAGGGGTTAGGGCTTCATTGTATGGATTTGGGAGCAGGAGGTACTCAATTCAGTACATAGCATAAGTCATGCAAGTGCCTCCTCACTAAACAAAGAACACCGACATCAATGGGAACTTTTGTTGCCACCACTTCCCACCCTAAACTTGAAAGATGCTGATGGGATGTTTAAGTCACTCTCTCAGTGGGGACCAATCCCAGTTTAAGTCTCTCTGTCTCAGTGGTGATCAATGGTGGTGATCCTGGGTGTGTTCCCATACCTCATTCATTTCAAGGTGCTGACTGAACATTTCCTGTGTGCCAGACTCATGTCAGGAGCCTCAGGTGCCCCAGTGAGACAATATGGCAAAGAAGATACCTGCCTCAAGGAGCTTACAGCCTAGCTTGTCAGGGAAGCTAGACTGTCTAGAAAAAACTCTAGGTTTTCTTGTCCAGAAAACTTAGAGTTGACTGAGAGGAAAGAAGACAATTGCAATTAAAGGGGAGAGGATCAGTATCTTCAGGAACATTTAAATACAGTCATGTGTTGCTTAGCAACAAGGATACATTCTGAAAAATGTGTCATTAGGTGATTTCATCATTGTGCAAACACTGTAGGGTGCACTCACACAAATGCAGATGTATGACCTACTGCACACCTGTATGGAGCACTTACTATGAATGGAGCTTGCAGAACTGGAAGTTTCTCTGGGTGAGTCAGTTAGTGAGTGGTGAGTGAATATGAAGGCCTAGAACATTACTGTACACTGCTGTAGACTTTATAAATACTGTCCATTTGGCCTATAAAATGTATTAAACATTTATTTTAAAATGCTTTTTTCTTCAATAGTAAATTGACCTTAGCTTACTATAAATTTTTACTTTATAAACTTTTTAATTTAACATCTTGACTCCTTTATAATAACACTTATCTTAAAACACAAACGCATTGTACGGCTATGCACATATATTCTTTATGTCTTAGTCTATCAGATTTTTTCTATTTCTAATTTTTTTTTAATATTTTAAACTTTTTTGTCAAAAACTAAGACAGAAACACACACATTAGCCTAGGCCTACACAGGGTCAGGGTCATCAATATCACTGTCTTCCTCCTCCACATCTTGTCCCACTGGAAGGTCTTGAGGGGCAGTAACATGCACAGAGCTGTCATCTCCTATGATAGCAATGCCTTGTCTTGGAATCCTCCTGAAGAACCTGCCTGAGGCCATTTCAAAAGTAACTGTCTTGGATTAAGTAGATGGAGTAAACCCTCAAATAATGATGAAAGTATAGTATAGTAAATACATAAACCAGTAATATAGTTATTTAGTATCATTATCAAGTATTATGTACCATACATAATTGTATGTGTTAGACTTTTGTACAACTGGCAGGGCAGTAGTTGTGTTTACAGCAGCATCACCACAATTACAAGAGTAGTGTCTTGTGCTACCATGTTCCAGCGGCTAGACACCACTAGGTGATAGAAATTTTTCAGCTCCATTATAATCTTAGGAGACCACTGTTGCTTATGGGGTCTGTTGTTGACTGAAATGTTGTTATGTAGCCCATGACCTAGAAAGGCTAAGTCTACATTCCTGTGCTTCTGTATTTTAAGACTGCTTGTGACACAGATTAGTCAACATCTGTCATTCGTCAATAATGCATTTTGTGGAATGGAGACGTCTATAGTCCACCAGAGTGAATTAGCAAAGTTAACACTAAAAAGTTTTTTCTTTCTAGCCGTTTCTAGACCAATGGGTCTCTGTCCTTATTTCTGTTTTCACAATATCACTACTAACCTCCATCACTTTTTTTTTTTTTTTTTTACATAAACTCTGCCTTCCAGGTCCAGCTTCCCAAGTCACCTTCTGATTGATGAAAGTCATCGAGACCTTTATGGAAGAGGATCTTCAGGGAAATGTACCCAAGTCTGAGTCACTCAGAAATGGACCAGTGATGCTAGGGGTTCCCTGTTTTCCCTCTCTTCCCTGTCCCTAACACTTCCCACTGTTACAGGAACCCAACGATGAGCAGACCTGGAAAGCCCAGGGCCCACTTCTGGCCTGCCTGTTATAACCAGTGGTCTCCAACCTTTTTAGCACCAGGGACTGGTTTCATGGAAGACAGATTTTCCACAGACGGGGGAGGAGGATGGAGCGTACAACCTAGATCCCACGCATGCGCAGTTCACAATAGGGTTTGCGCACCTGTGAGAATCTAATGTTGCTGCTGACCTGACAGGAGGCGGAGCTTAGGTCCCCTACCACTCCATGGCCTCGGGGCTGAGGACCCCTGTTGTAGGCCACTTAGATGATATGCCCAGAGAGCAGCCTCAGAGACTCTTCCAACATGTTCAGTTTTGATAAAACCTGCCCTGCCATAGCAACATGAGCTTAAGGAAATGGTACTGTAATTACTTGACCCTATACCTGGTTTCCAAGGCCAGCAGCTGGAGATGTCTTACTGTTAGCTTTTGAGCTAATCACATGTGCTCACTTCCAACTGCTGGGTGAGCAGTGAAATCAAAATAGCTTCTGACAGTGATTATCCTTGCAAAGGGGATCCCATGCTCAGGGTGAAGCTAGACGTTCCTCTTTCTTACAGGGAAGAGCAAGGTTTACTGCCATTAATAGTCAGAAAATCATCTGTGTTACCTAGTGAGGGTTCTAAGGATTGGATTCTATGTCAAGGCCCGGGCAAAGTGACAGGTGCTCCCTGCATAGGTGACTCCCTGTTAGGAGTCTCAACCTGTCAGCTGCTGCGTGAGGCCTGGCATGGCAATCATCATGCAAAGGCACACTCTTAAGGAGCACTGTAAGTGCTACTGTAATTCTTACCTTTGTATTCTACTATTAGTGTCTTAGTTCAGGCTACGATAACAAATATACCATGGGCTGGTTATATTTGTGGCGTAAACATCAAGCATTTATTCTGACAGTTCTGGAGGCGGGAAGTCAGAGATGGAGATGTGGGCTGGTTCAGTGTCGGGCGAGGATTCACTTCCTGGTTCATAGGTGGCGCCTCCAGGCTGTGTCCTCACTTGGCGGAAGGGGTGAGGGAGCTCTCTGGTCTCGTCTTATGAAGGCACGAATCGCATTCGTGGGGGCTCCACTCTCCTGACCTAACCACCTCCCCAAACCCCGCGGCTTCATGCCATCATGTTGGGCTTTAGGATTTCAACATACGAATTGTGGGGGGACAGAAACATTCAGTCTGTGACAACCAGATTCTGCCGAAGGACCCCCTCAGAGTCTTCCCTCCCTGGGCTTCATTGTGATGGTGGGGATGTTCAGCTGAGTGGATCTCACGCTGCAGCACCACCTCCCGAGCAAGCCACCATATTTTTCATTAGCCGGATGTGGAAGGTGCCATTATTGGTCCAATTCTCCAGCCCTTTCTGTATTTAGATCTTTTCTCCGTGACTTTACAATTTTTCCCACAAAAGGTAGAACATATTTCCCACTTTCCCCCTTCCTTTAACTTTGGCCACGGGACTAGCGTTGGCCAATAAATTAAAGTGGGAGTGAAGGCGCCTTTACAGGCCTTGCTGCTTCGGCTAGCGCTCTCCACTATTTGCCTGTGCCTGGCCACGCCCAGAGCTTCCCCCAGACGCGCTGGCTCCTTCGCCAGGGTCACAGAGTGACTCTGAGCGCAGACTCCCTCAAGAAGCCACCCCCGGCTGATGCTCAGAAGCAGATGGCCCAGCTGAACCCAGCCCAGATCAGCCACACCCCAGCCAACCTTGAGGCTTCCCAGTGAAGGAACCACCAGCTGCTGCGTGTGGTTGTTGCCTCCTGCAACCCCGAGGCTCCGGGCTAAGAAACCACTTGCTCCTGTATGCGGTGCAATGCATAGTTTCGTGTTAAGCCGTAGAATCGTGCTCATAGTCACCTGACACACAGGCATCTTCTTTAACAATTTTTTGGGGAGTTGCCAGCTTGAGTTGCAGTTAAGAGATGAGAGTTTATAATTTTTGTTTTAGCCATTCTAATGCAGCTGCAACGTATCAAAGATTTTTTTTTTTTTTTTTTTTTTTACTTATGATTGCTTCCCTTTAATGAAGGCTGCTTCAGTCCTCCCTACAGGCCCACTAGAGTCTCCCAGCAGTACATGTCAGCAGGAGCCATCAGATTTTCCAAAAAAATCTTCTTTCTCTAGAGGTTGTAGGCAGTGAGCACCCAGAGGGCAGTGGCAACAATGTTCTGAGTCAGGTGCTCCCTGTGGGACTGGTTGTCCTCCAGCTTCCACTGAAAGGATAAGTAGGTCTCAAACACCTCATGAGCAACATACACCAGAATATAATTCATTCCTGCATGAAAGAGCAGGGTTCCTGTCCACAGCCCCTTCACATCCACAACCGTGTACAGGCCCAGCAGGACGAAGAAGGCAAAAGAACTGAGCATGGTGACATATGAAAGGGATCGGAGATTTTTGTTTACTGGAATAAAACCTTCATTTTCAGAAACTTTTGTCAGAGCAACAGAAATGAGCCAAAGAATACAACGCCAAGCAGTGAATCGAACCAGGATGTCTTCGGTCTGAGCCTTGTAATACAATAGTATTTTTCCTGCCTGAACTACTAAAAAGGCCATCACGATGGAGTGGATGGTGCCCAGGATGCCCTCGGGGCCATAGGCCACCTCGGTGTGGGAAAGCACAGCAGAAGATGGGCGATGGTAAAGGCAATCGTCTCCCAGCTACAGGCGGGTCCATGTAGCCTGCAGCTCCTCCAGTACAGTTTGGATACTTGCCAAAATCTCCAATGCCCCCAGGTCCAGGATAACCAGTAGGGCACCCAGGGACTGGCAGGAGGAGTGTCAAGCCCAGCCACAGGCCTTCCAGCGCCAGGATGTGCAGCCTCTAGGGCCAGCTGGACATTATGTCTCGAAGAGAAAGGCATCTCCTCTCCGAGGCACAATGTTCAGGCACAGGATTAACAAAGAGGAGCTCCGACACAGCAACCACAAAGCAAGTCACCCCCAAGCACTGCAGCACACCAGGAATGCGCACCTTGTCCCAAGACAATGAACCAAGGCAATAATTGGGATTCACAATGATAATTCCTATGCAGATTAGCAGGAAACTCCTCCATGCAATCTTCCCCAGCAATCTGAATTTTGAATATCCCCATTGCAGTATAAAAGTCATTGATAGAAAAATGGAAGATCCCATAATAAATACAAACCATGGGAACGCGAGGTCAGCCACCATCAACCCATTCCAACTTGTGTGTTTGAAGTACCAGTATTTCCCTTCTCCACAATTGACGAAGACCATGAGTATGACAGCAATCTCCCTGAAGGTGTCCATACCGTGGAGAGGGAGTGGCAAGGCAAACGGACGCCACACTGCTGGCTTGATGTCACCATAGGGGGCCTGTCCTGCTGGGAGATCCCAGCTCAGAATTGATGAGGCAATCAGTTTCTCGAGAACTTATGGCCTTAGAAATCCGATTATTAAAGTCATCCAAACTCCACAAGAGCCTCAGAAAAGATATCACAATGATGAGAGTGAGACCAATAAGGAATGCAGTGCTCACAGGAAGGTTACTGCCGGCTGGATCCTCCTTCACAGCCCGGTCACAGGCAATTTCACTAACTCCATTATGGATGTACTTTACCGAGAGAATAGTTTCAAAATTCTCCACATTTGTATTCCAGCCTACAAACTTCTTTCTCTTCCAAGGCGTCATTCAGCTGTAGGATGGATCGGTGCTGGGTGCTGACAGGGATGGCTACAGTGCTAGGCTTCCCCACTTTTGGACTCTGAGGAACATTTACCAGAACCTGAAACAAGCAGTGATGACAGGATTCCGATTTCCAGCAGACAGTCAAGTTGGTCCCGAGAAGTTCATTATGGATGAGTAACAAAGCCTGATCCATCTTCAGCAACACGTGTCTTTTTTTGTCTAAGTCCGGTGGCAGCACCTCAAAGATTTTTCTTTAAAGGTTCCTTATAGCGCTAAAGGCACAAAGGAGACTTCGCTCTGTTTTCCAGGCGTGCCGTTGTCTATTCATTCACAAACTCATGGCTCCCATCTGCAACGGTTATTACAGAAAATAAGCTCTACAACTAGATACACATTTAAATTTGGTTAAAGATAAATTTGTTTAAAAACAAATAGATTAATACAATCCATTGATTTTAAAAAGTTTCCTTTTTTTTTTTTTCATTTATCCATCCCCCAAAAAATGTATTGAGAGTCTCCTCGGTGCCAGGAACTATCTTAGGCACTGGTGCATCAGGGAACCAAATCACACTGTGTCCTCGGGAGGGACATTCTGCAAGGGCTGAGCCACTCTTCCGCCAACTGTGCCTACTTTGTCTTTATGTCTTTGGTTAGACTAAAGGAAGAACCAGAGCCTGTGTTTGTAAAGCCACCCAAGCAGGCTAAATAGAATGGAAACAGACCGTAAAATGGTGACAGCCTAGCTCAAATATCAGTTAGGCTCCATCAGCAGAAAATGCAATTGTATATTTTCTAAAAATCAATTTAAACTTAAAAATTATCTTTAAGGCTGGGTGCGGTGGCTCATGCCTGTAATCTGGGCACTTTGGGAGGCAGAGGTGGGCGGATCACTTGGGGTCAGGAGTTTGAGACCAGCCTGGCCAACATGGTGAAACCCCATCTCTAGTAAAAATACAGAAATTAGCCAGTCATGGTGGCGCGCGCCTGTAATCTCAGCTACTTCAGAGGTTGAGGCAAGAGAATCCCTTGAATCTGGGAGGCGGAGGTTGCAGTAAGCTGATTGCCACTGTACTCTAGCCTGGGCAACCCAACAAGACTCTGTCTCAAACAAAACAAAACAACAACAACAATTATCTTTAAATTTACAGAGATATTTGTACACCCATGTTGGCCCTTAGTCCCAGTTGGGTTACCTTAGCAATATTATTTGCAATAGCCAGAGGGCAGAAGCAACTCAAGAGTACCTTGATGAATGAATGTATATGAATATACATATGTGAGTGTATATATATGTATATAAATACAACATTTTCTTTATTCATATAGATAAACAGAACTTCTTCATCTATAGGTGTACATGTAATTATATATATATTATACATATAGTATATATATGTGAAAAATATTATTTTGCCTAAAAAGTGAAGGCCATTTTGACACATGCTACAACATGGATGAGCCTGAAGTCCTTAAACTAAGTGAAGTGAACCACTCACACAAAGGTAAATATTGTATGATTCCACTTCTATGAGGTACCAGAAATAGTCAAATTCATAGAGACGGAAAGTAGAATGGAGGTTGCCAGTGACTGCAGGGAAGGAGAGAATCAGAAGTTAATTGGTTCAAAATAGGGGTGTGTGTGTGTGTGTGTGTGTGTGTGTGTGTTGGGGGTGGGGGGCAATGAAAACGAAAGTCTGGGTACAAAAGCTCTGTGTGATGTCAACTGGTGCACTTGGCCTCTCTGATCCTGGTAACATCATCTTAATTTAAGGGATTGGCCCCAAGAATAAAGGGGCCAGAGTTGATGCAGATGGAGTTTCAGTTTGGAAAGTGAAAACATTCTGGAGATGGATGGTGGCCATGGTTGCACAACGTGAAATGATCCTAATGCCATTAAACTAGATATTTAAAAATGGTGGAGATAGTGTATTCTGTTATGTATATTTCACCACAATTAAAAAAAAATAAAAATGAGTTTAAACATTTAATCCACCACACCATAAGCCAAAAAGCTCTGTGTGACCTTGAGTGGGACATTCAGCCTCTCTGATCCTGGGTGGCATAATCTTAATTCAAGGGGGCAGCCTCAAGGATAAAGCCTCTGTTTCTCTCTGGCAGAATGAGTTATGTTGTATGTCATCCTTCTCTGGCTGACCCATGTACAAGATCTGTGCCAGTCCAGGCTCCCACAGGCATCAGGTGCCCCTTCTTGCAGTGTGAAACTGCCTTGCAGACTTAGAACAGTAGGATTGTTTCCTGTTGCTCTGATGCCACAGTTTTGGGCTTCGCAATTAACCCGCTGGTCATGGTTTTCCCTTGACTCTAGCACACCTGCTCCTCTATCAGGAAAATATGATTTTTTGGAAAAGGAAAGTCCACACTAAAGCCATGCTAATTAGTACTTGGTTCACAGAGAACAATAGCTCATTTAGGAATCATTTTCTTGAGACAAAGACAGGATAAATATCTGCTAGATTTGATGCCAAGGGTGTCATGTCTTAAAGCATGCCTGGGGATACTTTCCTGACTAGAAAAAAAAAAAGACATGAATGTTTTTCATTGAACAAGAAGACACAATTGGTTTCGCTCTGTGTAGGCAGCAGCAGCCACTCTGTGCGGCTCTGTTAGAATGGTCTGTGCTCTGCAGAAAGGCAGTAGGATGGCATGAAGGAACCGCCTCAGCTACCAGGTGGACAGCTGAAGGACAGGTAGCTGGAAAGGTGTGCGCTGGGCCAGGTCTGAGAAATGCTGAGATGATGCAGGCTCTCAAATGGAACCACAGAAACCAAGCATATCAATGGTCAAAGGAAGATTTTCAAGAGAAAACCAAAGCCTTGGATGGCTAGAGGAGTTCCGAATTTGCAAGGGGCTCCTGAAAACAGGCTTTATATACATATGTGTGTATGTATATTTGTATGTACACAAAACATTTTCTCTCATAAGAGGGGCTTTACACAATTGATTTTTGTTTTCAGAGGTATTGCTCAGTCTATCTTGCCTTGGTATCTACAAAGCAGTGTCACTCACACACACAATTCTAGAGAACTGGTGTGTATGTGTGTGTGTGTGTGTAAGTGAAGGTACTCACTTAGCTGTCATGTCAGATGTAAGCAGGTTGGCAGCAACAGCACAGGATTCTTCCATTGCAGATAGCAACCAGTGTCAGTTTGGTACCTGCCACAGTTGGGGGCTCTGGGAGGCTGACACTGAGGGGCTGGTCAGCATGCAGGATGCCTGTTAGGGGCACAGGATTGACCCCAGAGCAGCTTCTAGAGGGGCTGAAAGCCAAATTGCAAAGAGGGGGGAGGTGGGCTGCCATGCCAAGGCTTCAGCTGGTCACAAGGAACTCTGAGCAGCATGGCCTTATAATCCAACACTGCCTTCTACAAGATTATACACAATTTTCATTGGTCCACTCAAGTAGGTCATGCAGCTGATGTTCAGCTGATTAGAGGCTCCTAGGGACCCTACAGATTCCGAGGAATCTATATGGGGAGGAGGTGCTGGCCAGGCTCTTATACCAGCATATGCATTACTCCCTGAATAGGGGCTGCCATTGGGAAGGAGGTGTGGCCCTTGGGCAAGGGGACTATCTTCAGACATGGCAACCACCAAAGAGGGCTGATAACTGAGGGTGGTCTTTCAGCCACTGGGAGAATAAGACCTTCATTCCTGAAAGGGAATTTGGGCTTCACATCATTGTGCCTACCAAGGAAATGAATGACTGGAAAGAAGGAAGAGAGGGACAGAGGAAGACAGAGAGGGAGGTAAGAGAGAAGGGACAGAGAAAAAGGGGAGTGCAGGGAGGGAGGAGGAAGGAAGGAAAGAAGGAAGGAAGGAAAGAAGGAAGGCTGGCTGAGGTGGGAGAATCACCTGAGCCTGGGAGGCAGAAGCTGCAGTGAGCTGAGATCGTGCCACTGCACTCCAGCCTGGGTGACAGAGTGAGACCTTGTTTCAAAAATATAAAGAAAGGAAGGAAGAAAGAAGGAAGGAAGGAAAGAAAGAAAAAGAGAGAGAAAGAAAGAAAAAAGAGGAAAGAAAGAGAAAGAAAAAAAAGAAAGAAAGAAAGAAGAAAGAAAAGAAAGAGAAAGAAAAAAGAGAGAGAAAGATGAAGGAAGGAAGGAATATATTAGCTGCTGCTTACATTTTAGTAAGTGTAGACAGCAGGCTGGTTGCTGTGGCTCATGCCTGTAATCTCAGCACTTTGGGAGGCTGAGGCAGGTGGATCACCTGAGGTCAGGAGTTCGAGACCAGCCTGGCCAACACGGTGAAACCCCATCTCTACTGAAAATACAAAAAATTAGCCGGGTGTCTTGGCGGATGTCTGTGATCCCAGCTACTCAGGATGTTGAGGCAGGAGAATAGCTTGGACCCAGGAGGCAGAGGTTGCAGTGAGCTGAGATCACACCACTGCACTCCAGCCTGGCCAACAGGACTGAAACTTCTGTCTCCAAAAAAATAAAAGGAAGTGTAGCAAGCAGTAAGCACCTGTCATCAGAAACCACAGCGATTGCTTTAGTAGGGAGATCAAAGGCAGGATAATTTGGGGCTGAAGGACAATTTAGAGCCATTGGGGTGAACCATGATACTATTGTGTTCCTCACCATTTGATATTCTCAGTCTTACCAAGGAAGAAATGATATCAGGCCAGATAAGCAGTTTGTTTCCAGGCCCACAGAACAATGTTGCAGAGAAACACAGTCTTTGCCTCTGTCCATCCCTCTTCTCATCTCTGATCTTGCTTTCAACCCTACTTTCCTCTCTGACCTCCTCTCCTGGTCTCTGCCTCTATCTTTTCTTTTTTTTTCCTTGCTTTTTCTCTGCAACTAGCCTCATTTGGGTCTTCAAGCATCAAAACACCTCTTATGCCCTGTGGTACCTTGGCAGCATTGTTCTTCGACAAAAGCCTGAGTCACTGGCCCCCTGTCAGCTACAGTAAAAGGCCGCCCCATCCCCAGCAGCGCCTGTTAATCCTATAATCCAACACCGGCTTCTACAAGACTATACACAATTTTCATTGGTCCGCATTTCAAGTAGGTCAGGCAGCTGATGTTCAGCTGATTAGAAGCTCCTAGGGACCCTACAGATTCAGAGGCAGCGGGGTAGCTTGTAACTTCAGAGGCCACATCTTTCTGAATCAGCACAGGCTGCTGAAGAATTCTAATCTTGGTGGCGCTTGAAGCAATTTAGAGTAATGAGCCTCTGTCAATTTGAGAGGAAGACATCCTTTGAATGGCAACCCCCCTCTGCTGAGCCATTTTTGGATACAGTAGGGCTTTCAGTCTTTCTATTAAAGGAAGTTTAACAAAACCTGTTTTCAAGAGAGAAAGTACAATCATCTTTTCCATGGGAAAGTCGAGTTTGTTTAGTAAAAG